TCTTCTCTTTCTGGTACCTTTATGATGTTGGTGTTGCTACATTTCATGTTGTCCCAAAAGTCCCTTAAACTATCCTCATTTTTTAAATTCTTTTTTCTCTTTGCTGCTGTGATTGGGTGTTTTCTGCTACTTTGACTTCCAAATCACTGATCTGATCCTCTGCTTCACCCAACCTACTGTTTATTTCTTCTAGTGTATTTTTTATTTCAGATATTGCATACTTAATTTTTCACTGGTTCTTTTTATGGTTTCTGTGTCCTTTTTCATGGTGTTGTAGTTCACTAATTTCCTCGAGCATCCTTATAACCATTTTTTGAACTCTATATCTGGTAAGTTGCTTGCCTCTATTTCATTTAGTTTTTTGGTCTGGAGATTTCTCCTGTGTTTTCATTTGGGACATGTTTCTTTGTCTCTTAATTTTGGCTGCCTTTTTGTTTTTGTTACTATGTATTAGGTAGCTCTGCTATGTCTCCCTGTCTTGGTATCGTGGCCTTATATAGTAGGTGTTTTGTGATATCCAGTGGCACCATCTCCCTGATCACCTGAGTTGAGTGTTCCAGGATTGTCCCTTGTGTGGGTTATGTAAGACCTCTTTGCTTTAATTCAGTGTGTTAACATTTTTTATTGTTGTTAAGTTACAGTTGTTCCACCTTTTCCCCCACTGCCCTCACCTACCCCATCCTTCCCGACTCCCACAGTCAATCCCCTCCATTGTCCATGCCCATGAGTCCTCTGTTTGTGTTCCTTTGCTTGCCCCTTCCACTTCTTTTCCCCATTATCCACCTCCCCTCTGATCACTGTCAGTTTGTTCTTTATTTCCAAGTCTCTGGTTCTATTTTGCTCATTTGTTTGTTTTGTTGATTATATTCCACTTATAGGTGAGATCATATGGTATTTGTCTTTTACTGTCTGGCTTATTTCATTTTGCATAATGCTCTCCAGTTTCATCCATGCTTTCATAAAGGGTAGGAGTTCCTTCTGCTGTATAGTATTCCATGGCAAAGGACTGAACAGACACTTTAATTAAGTCTTGATTGCTATTTTCCCATTCATGTGTGGGTTTGACCTTCAGGTTGGGGGCTGACTGTGAGGATCACCTTGACCACAGTGTATAATAAGCTGCTGTTTAGGTGTTGACCACACAAAGTGGGATTCACTTCAACAGGGTCTGGTACCTGTTGAGATTTCCCTTTGAATATGCCACTTGTGAAGCTAATTGGATCCTGCTCTGATGTTGTCTAAAGTTGGCCACTGGGTGTGTTGGTTCTGAGGTCACTTGGGTGATATTCTGGTGTAGACCAACATCAGATGCTGCCTATGACTGGCCCTGGGCAACCTGTTTCTAGGTGCAAGCAATCTGCAGTGTGTGGCTGCCTCTGCTGGGTCTGGGTGTGCATGGAAAGGACCAAGCTGTTTACCAAGGTTTCTTCCACCAGTACTGAATCCAGGGGAAGGCCAGCAAAATGCCTAAGGCATCCCCAAATCTACCTTGGTCTCCCTCTTACTGTCAGCTGCCTGTGAGACTCAGTCACTACAAGGGCCTCTGGTGATACCCAAGTTGCATGAGGTATGCTCTCAGTGAGTCACCAGGCAGGGGCAAATGGTGTTCACTAAATTAATATGGGTTCAAATTCAGTGTCAGTGATGTCCTGAGGACATTCATCAAATATCCAAGGGTATACCAAGTCAAGCTGCCGCCTTTGTGGTAGGGCAAGGTCTCAGGGAGTCATCAGGGTGAGGCCAGGAGAGTTGATCAGACTAAACAGTCTAAATTTTGGCCATGTGAAGGGAGGACTGCACCAGTCAGGTGTGATAGGAGAAAATGGCCTCATTCTCAAGCCACACCACTCAGTCTGTCCCAGATTCTTCCAGAAGCCCAGTCTCTGTAGGGCAGGCAGGGCTGCTGAGAGTCATGGGGCTACTAAATCTCCTATAAGGGGGTGGTGCTAGTCAGGCTTAGGTGAAGTTGGAGGTAGTGGCCTCCATCCCAGAGCCACACAACACAGTCTGTCATATATTCTGCCTAGACCTTGTCAAGGCAAAGCCACCAGGAGTCAGGAAGGTGGGTCCTAGTTGATTTTCTGTGAGGGGGAGGTCCCAGTCAGGTTCCTGGGAAAGTAGAGGGAATAGCCCCATCCCAAAGCCAGACAATTCAGTCACTGACACCTCCTGAGTCTGCTCAGACCTCTACACCAGTGCAGAAGTACCACAGGGTTGAGAAGCAGGGAGTTCAGAGGGTGGAGCTACAGCATTGTCCCAGGTTGTATCAGTTAGGAGGCAAGTGCTCCACCCAGAAAAAGATGTCATCTGCAGTGTGAAAGAGGGACTCAGTGCAGGGTTCCTATGGCTGTCCCTTCAGCTCTCTCTCTCCAGAGCCACAAACTCCAGTCTCCCCTCACATGACTTTATTCCATTCTGCCCTCCTTGCAATGTAGCCCTGGTTGAGTGGCTGTGATAAGACTTTTGTGCCTTGTCCTTTTAAGAGCATGCCTGTGTCTCTAGTAGAAGTCTAGCAGACTCCTGTCTCTCCCTAGCAGACAGAATCCCTTCTGCTTTTCACAACCAGATGTTATGTGGGTGCCACTCCTTGGCTCTGGTGCTCTGGGCTGGGGAGCCCAATGTGAGGTTGACACCCCATGCTTCTCAGGGGGAAACTTTGTAGCTGAGATATCCCTCCAATATTTCAGCTGCTGCCCATGGGAGCAAGGACAGCCTTTTCACATTTCCCTTTCTTCCTACCAGTCTTGATGTGGCTTTTCTGTAAATCCTAGGTTATGGGATCTGTTCTGCTAGTCTTTGGTTGGTTATTCAGGTTGATTGTTTTATGTTTTATAATTCCAGTTTGGTCCTGGGAGAAGGTGTGTATAGCTCCCACCTACTCTGCTGCCATCTTAGTTCTTGTTATCTTGTTACAGATTGCCACCTTTATCTATCTAACTCTCTCCTTAACTGATAGTCTATATTTACTACCCCAAACCATTGTGTGAATCTGAACTGTTTCAGAATCCTGGCCAACATAGTCTGGCCCAATCAACAGGTGAATTAGTCCCACTTGGTTGCTAGATTGTGAAAGGGAATAAGATAACAGTATCTTATTATTACATGGACTAAAGGATTACTGGGTTCCCCTCTATTACCTGGAAAAACTTTGCTGAACTTCCAGAAGTGGTGAATAACAGCGTACCAGGTCCACAAGCATTCTAGCTAGCAGGTCATTGTGCTGAGGGTTTAGCACAAAGATAAATGAGGAATCTCACCAAGCTGTATGCCAGGAGCCCAAATGACCAACAAGTCACTGTTCAATATTCTTCTGAATGTCACATTATTTCTAATGCATAGATGAAGTTCATTACAAGTGATTTGTTATGGAGAATATGGTAGCAACCTGAAATCATTGGCAGATGAGCTGTTTATAGGAGAGTCAGAGATATAAGAATACAAACAGAATGAGAAAGTGTTCTAGTCATGCTGCCTGTCATACATAATCCTCAGTATGAAGAGAAATGCTTTCAAAATAGAATCAAGTTCATTTCTCATGGTATTGCCCTTTGTATCCCAATATATAGCATCTTACATGGCTCATTTACCTTAAAAAGGGCACTTATAAACATCTGATACTCAGTATCTAACAGGTACCTGCTCAATGTAACAGCAACTACCTTGGGTTCACTGAAACTTCTAATAGAGTTTTAAAGATGTAGGGTCAGAATTGTAGGTGATTCTGCCCACTTACATTATAATTCTTGCCTGATTTCTTAAGCCTAGTTTTACATCTTTCAGTCTTAAATCTTCAAATATATATATATATATATATATATATATATATATATATATAGTTTTGAGAAACTACTTTTGATCATGTTTACAAAATACTGGAAGCAGATGTGTACTTAGATAAACTTTCTGACCAAGAATAATTTTAAAGCAGGTAGTCATATGGTGGTAAATGTTTAACAACCAGTTTGAGGGGTGAAGAGGCTTAATTTATTGCCTTTGCTGATTTCATATTACCACCATGACTAATTTCAAGCTACCAATCACTGAACATGAACTCATCACTGAATATAAGCTTAGAGTTGGGAAGCAATGTGCACAATTGGTTATCAAAAGCTGATTCAAGGCAGCTCCAATATACCTCTGGATACAAGCCAGAAATAAGTTAGAACAAATCCCTCTCCCTCCCACTTCACTCTCACGGAAAAGAAAGCTATTCCTAAAATATTTTGTCTTGCTGCCTTCATGGGTAGATGACACAGGAGGCAGGTTAAAAAAGATATTCTATATAATTGGGGCATATAGTCTCTTAATTATGCAGTGGAGAAAACAACATGTCCAATACTACATGCTGAGGAGTTAAGAATAGAGAAAGAAAACCACAAAAACAATGATAAAAATGGGTTGGAGACAGGTCCTAAGTTACTTGCATCTTTCAGCATGTAAATAAGATTGTGGAGTAGAGAAGAAGGTGGCTTAGTTTGGAGAAAGAAAAATAATTCTTTAATAGGAAAGGTTTTTTAACTTGTTTTAGATGAGATGAAAGGAGGAGGGAGAAGAGTGTGACTAGCTAATAATATCCAATGAGAATAGAGGGAAAACAAGGGGTTAAACTGCAGTGGAATGTATTTGAAGTACTATGTTGGAGTAGATGACATGGTAGCTGTAGGAATATGCACCATACAAAATTACAAGTACTACATCATTTCAAAGGTTCTCATCTGCTTCTGTGCTACAGGTATCCAGTTGAAGTTAAAGCAGTCATGCTGCTTACAATATAATTGACTACATAACCAACCAATTTACTGTACACCTTTGAGAATAGGAAATGAAGTGCCAATCTAGATTAGTATTGTCATAAAATAAATGCTACCAACTTGTGTAATTTTGGGTCAGTCTCTTGATTCCTGGTAGCTGTTTCCTTCTTTAAAAATAGCTAACTTTAATAGCATAAACAATAAAGTATTAAAAACAGATTTTAAATAACAATACTATGTTCTACTCACAGGTAGAATGTGTTATGATTGCTTCTGATTTAGTGGTCTTCTTGACTACCAGGCAACTGTAAAACAATAAATTAAGCTAAAGTCACTTAGAGCAACAAACCACTCTATAAAAAGCAGTATTACTTTGAGGTTTGTCTCATGCTAGCCTTTAAAAGGAACAGAAAATCTCATCTTTATAACAGCCTCTGAAGTCTTCCTCCACCTAATCATTTTCCTTATTTTACTGTGGAATCAGGAGTTGACAATCCTCATTAGGGGCCATATTTTCTCCTGTGTATCAAAAACTAAAACAGTTCATGATTTACAACACTTGCACATGCTGAGAATTCACCTTGCACAGACATCTGGAAAAGGCAACACATGATAGTTTTAGACATGACAGAATAAATTTTCCCTCAAACTTCTACACATTCCAATAGTCCTATATAACAGCAAACACAAGAACTATTTTTTTAAATGTTCCTTACATGGACCAGATTCTCATTTTGGTATATAATGATTATCTCCTAACAGAAACAGACTACAGTGCATAGTTATACTTTTTCCGTTTCCTGCTTTTGTCACATACTACAGTTCAGCCAATCTAATCGAAAAGGAATGGACAGAAGGATTTCTCCATTGTCTTGATAAGCCTCTTTTACTTCCTACCATTTCTACACTTTTTCAAAGTTATGGTCTCATCTACAAAGGCAGAAATGGAAACACCACAGAAGGGCTGAACAGACCAATGTGAAGAAAGCAAAACAAGAGTAACAATGCAAGGCCGGAAAAGGTCACACTATTAGAGAGTACTCATTCAGCAGGACAATGATTACATGTAACTATTTGCTCAGTTTCTTATTAGAGGAATGAATAAATGAGACACTGAAAGGAAGGTAAGCTGTGAGCTCATAAAAAAGTCACAGTGATTTCTTATTTAAATGACCTAACACACAGTTATCTGTCCATAAATATGTATATGTATTTATATGTCAGTGTATGTTTTCTAAATAACTAGTGAAAATGAAGAGCATAGTTGGGTCAAGATGGAGGTGTAGGTAAACACACCTTGCCTCCTCACACAACTATGGCAAAAACTATAACTAGACTACAGAACAGATATCACCCAGAATTATCAGAAAATCAACCTGTAAGGAAGTTGGACAACCAAGGATTTAAAGAAGCTACACTCATCCAGATGGGTAGAAGGGGTGGAGATGTGCAGAGAGGCACAGAGACACAGAGTGGTATGGAGAGGTGCAGAGATGAGAAATGGGCAGCCCCACATCCATGTGTGGTGTATAAAAATTGGTAGGGATACTTTGGGAGCAAAGTATTCCATACCCCAGATTAGACCACACAGCCCAGGCTTCTAGCACCAGGAAGATAAGCCTCTACAGATTCTGGCAATAAAAACCAGTGGTCGTTGGGGTGGCAGAAGAAACTACAGGATTCTTGTGAGAATCCACTTGCAAAGCTCATGATGAACTTGGGGCTCATGTAGACCCACCACCTCTGGGATTTAGCACCAGGGCAACAGCTGGAAGGGCACCAGTGGAATATGGGGAGAAATTGAAGTGACTGGGAACAGACTGAGTGCAGGGGGATAGCTTTCTCCTGGGCAAAACTCCAGAGGCCAGGCAGTAGCATTGTATCCTCTCCAAGCCCTCCCCCACAGAGAGCCAGAGAGTGGTGACAAGGATTGCCCCACACTGGCAATTACCTAAGGCTCTGCCCCATAAAACTTACAGGAATGCTTTTATACAATAGATCATACTACTAAGACAGGGAGTCAAATCAGCTCTACCTAATACACAGAAACAAACACAGGGAGGCTGCCAAATTGAAGAGGCAAAGGAATATGGCCTAAATGAAAGAACAGAACAAAAGTACAGAAAAAGAACTAAATAAAAGAAGTAGCCAATCTATCAGATGCAGAATTCAAAACACTGGTTATCAAGGTCCTCCAGGAACTCATTTGGTACTTCAATAGCATAAAAAAGATCCAGGCAGAAATGAAGTTTACATGAAGTGAGATAATGAAAAATCTGCAGGGAACCAACAGTCTAGGGGATGAAACTGAGAATCAAATCAATGATTTGAAACATAACAAAGAAAAAAAGCATTCAATCAGAACACCTCTGGGACGTCTTTAAATGTACCAGCATTTAAAGATGGTATATTTAAATGTACCAACCTCTGGGACATCTTTAAATGTACCAACATCTGAATCATAGGGGTGCGAGAAGGAGAAGAGGAAGAGTAAGAAATTGAAAACTTATTTGAAAAAATAATGAAAGCAAATGTCCCTAATTTGGTGAAGGAAATAAACATACAAGTCCAGGAAGCACAAATAGTCCCAAACAAGATGGACCCAAAGAGGCCCATTCCGAGACACATTATAATTAAAATGCCAAAGGTTAAAGAGAAAGAGAAAATCTTTTTATTTTATTTTATTTTATTTTATTTTATTTTATTTTATTTTTTTATTGATTATGCTGTTACAGTTGTTCTATTCCCCCTTGGGAGGAGGAGAAGGGGGGAGAAGTTACAGAGAAAATCTTAAAAGCAGCCAGAGAAAAGCAGATAGTTATCTACAAAGAAGTCCCCATAAGACTGTCAGCTGATTTCACAAAAGAAACCTTACATGTATGAAGAGACAGGGAGGAAGTAATGAAAAGCAATGACCTACAACCTAAATTACTGTATTCAGCAAAACCATCATTTGGAATGGAAGGGCAGAAAAAGTGCTTCTCAGACAAGGTAAAACTAAAGGAGCTCATCATCACCAAGCCATTATCACATGAAATGCTAAAGGGAATTATATACAAAAAGGAATATCAAAACAATGAACATTATAATGGCAATAAATTCACAACTATCAATAATTTAATCTAAATAACAAGCTAGGCAAACAAGCAGAACAAGAACAGAATCATAGATATGCAGATCATTTGGAGGGTTTTCAGGTGGGAGGGGGAGAAGGGAGATTGGGGGAAACGGTGCAGGGATTAAGAAGTACAAATTGGTAGGTACAAAACACACAAGGGGAAGTTAAGAATAGTATATGAAATGGAGAAGCCAAGGAACTTATATTCATCACCCATGAACATTAACTAAGGAGGGGACGTTGCCAGAGAGAATGGAAGGTACTGGGTGGAGGGGGCAAAGAGAGAAAAATTGGGAGAACTGTAAAACAAAAGAAGTGCCCCCACCAAAGAATAAAAGCATGGTAATCACAGTAGATAAAAGAAGTAATCAAGATGTCCAAAATAAAAAATTCCATGGTCTTACAGCCCTTAGATGTGAAAGAAAATTTAGTTTAAGGCCAGAATAAACTAGAATCTGAGTAAGCATAAATTTTATTTTTTTAATGATTGAATTTATTGGGGTGACATCAATTAATAAAATTATATAGGTTTCAGGGGTATAATTCTATGATACATTACCTATATAGTGTGGTGTGTGTTCACCAACCCAAGTCCAGTCTCCTTCCATCACTATTTATCCCCCTTTGCCCTCTTTTACCTCTCCCCATTCCTTTTCCCTCTGGTAATCACTATACTGTTTCCATGTCTTTGAGTTTTCCTTCCTTCCTCCCTCTCTCTCTCTCTCCCTTCACCCAAGGACATGTTCAACAATTCCAATTTCACAAAAAAAGGAAGAAAGAGAGAGAGAGAAACACTGATGTGAGAGAGACACATCAATTGGTTGCCTCCCATATGTACCCCAACCTGGAATCAAACCTGCAACCAGGGCATGTGCTCTGACCAGAGATCAAACCGACAGCCTTTTGGTGTACCAGATGATGCTTCAACCAACCAAGTCACCTGCTCAGGGAGAGTTTGTTTTTCTTTTGCTTGATCCCTCACCTCATCCCCTCAACCCTCTTCCCCTCTGACAGCTTACAACAATAAAAAATGAAACCAGAAAATCCTAACTTTTTTATATAGGTGCATGTGTATGCATGATGTGCTAAACCCTGTATATGGATAAACCTGGTCCCTACAATCTAGGTGATAACCCTAACCAGATTAAACACAGGGTAAGCAAAAAAACTTAGAATCTCTAAATTTTTATTTAAAAACATTCTAATTTGAGTTTTTAAAAAGAAAAATTTGTATAGTAATAGATATTAAGTTAAATAAAAAATAGTTAAAAACAACAGAATTAAAGTGGGGTAATTTTATATTAAAGTTATTTTTTAAAAGCCACTTTTGAAAACATGCAATAATATCTTTTGATTAACATTTTATTATACTCTCAATGGAGACTCCTCTATATCTAAACTGGTAACCCCCATCAGCCAGTTTGCCAATGGCCTTTTCCTTTTACAAATGTTATTAACAACACACAGCAATGATACATGGGTACCCTTTGAAAGCTCCAGACAGTGTACACAGGTTTAGCTCTGTTCTAGGGTGTTTACTTATCTTTGAACTTTTGGGGTTTTAAGGCTCTGCCTTAAGCTCTCAGTCATGCAGAAAGTAGAGTTCTCCACATCAACTATTCTCCCATACCCAGGTATAAAGAAACAAAGTTTCTCACAAGACATTTATTATCATACTCACATAATCATTATGGAATAAAGATAATAGAAAATGGCAAAAATCTAATGAAAACCTGCAAATATCTATAAATATAAAACTATAATTTTAATGTCTGTAAAATTTTGTGGTAAAATTTTAGTAACCTGCTTAATTCAAACTTAGGATATAAATAATTCTTCTACTCTGTTTTTAAAAATATTTAAACCATAAAGATTTTCATTGCATCCACGATAAACATCAAGTGAAACCAAGTCAAACAGAACTATCCAGAAGTCTTGATTAATGCAGACTGACCGAAATTTATATTGCCAAGCCCTTTTCTTACTCTTGTTCTGCCATTGGTTTCAGCATATTAATGTTTCCCTTTTCCTCTGTGTGTGACAGACTTCACTTTCTTTATTCTGAAGTACAGCCAAATTTGGATTTGTCTTTTCTGCTTCTCCCTCTCTACATTTTGAGTACCTTTGTCTTTTGGGGGGTAATTTTTCAATGATAGTTGACATTCAGTATATTAGTTTCAGAAGTAC